ATACGCAGATGTTTAAATAAATAATAATAAATAATTTTGTAATAATATTAGTATATAAGTAAGTATACAATTTTTAAAGTTCGTGCATAAGGTGGTTAGGTAATTATTATTAGTACAATGTTAAAAAGCTGTACAGTTTTCACCATTAATAATACTAAATAATTAAATATAAATAACTAGTATGAAGTACAATTTTAGGGTGTTAGTACCTACTGTTAACAAACGATTAGAAGTTGCCTGTTTCTCACCTTGTACTTCAAATTTTTCACATATTCAGTTACATCGCTTTGACTTCTACGTAACATTTTTTAATTTAGAATGTGTGGGCATTGCGACATACACCGCACCCTAAAGCGAATTCCTCCCCTGTGGAGGGATGGCTTACGTGAAGAGGACACTCATCGCCTTCTAGTTGTTTTGCTTTAGGACCTGAAACAATGAAAGAATTTTGTATATTAATACATGTCTTGTTAAGTAAACTTCTATAATTTCCTAACAAAAATACTTGTAATTCATGAAATAACAGCACTTGGTTTTGTTTCACTATTTTTATTTAATATTTAATGCTCTAACATATGTTTCGGCTGTTATGCCATTATCAAAGAGTTATACTGTAAACTAACTAACTTGAGTAAATTTCTTCTTTTAAAATGGAATGATATATCTACGTAGTAGTGAAACAAAACAAAGTAGTTATTTCATTAATTATTTTGAAAAATGTTATACTTGTTTTATTATACACTGAAAGTGAGATGAATTGATACGAGGGAGCGTTTTGAAGTTCGCGGAATGGGGGGTAAGAAGTGGAAATAAAAGTACGAATTTATAGGGTTGTTCGGAAAGTGATTTCGTTTTTTCCCAACATCACTGGGGACGAAAAATGGGTTGTATACAATAACGTCAAACGCAAGAGGTCATGAAGCAAAAAAGATGAACCTGCTCAAACCATTTCCAAAGCCGATATTCACCAAAAAAAGGTGATGTTGTCTGTTTGGTGGGATTTTAAAGGAATCGTTTTTTTTTTAGCTTTTACCGTATAACACAACGATTAATTCGGAAGTCTCCTGTCATCAGCTGGACAAACTGAATGATGCACTTCAACAGAAAAGGCCAGAACTAATCAACAGGAAAGGTGTAGTGTTTCACCAAGACAACGCGAGACCTTACACAAGTTTGGTCACTCGCCAAAAGCTTTTACAGCTTGAATGGGATACAATGCTACACCCACCATATTCTCCAGACCTGGCACCATCGGATTATTATTTGTTCCGGTCACTCCAAAATTTTTTAGACGGTAAAACCTTCACCTCAAATGAGGAGATCAGAAACCTCCTCGATCAGTTTTTTGCCAGCAAAGACCAAAAATTTTATGAGCGTGGAATTATGCTACTACCAGAAAGATGGCAAAAGGTGTTGGACCAGAACGGTCAATATATAATTTAATAAAGTATTTGTTTATTATACGAAAACTGTCTTTCATTTCCACAAAGGAAAACGAAATGACTTTCCGAACAACCCTATAAAATGTAGTAGATTTAATTTATGAAAAGAATAACATTCTTTTTTGCGCTCAGAATAGGCCAAAAACGGCCTACTTCATTGATAGCCTGTAAATATACAAATATATGCTAATAACATAGTTATTAAAAATTAATCGTTGGTCGTAAAAACGCGCTATGATGATGACTACTACAATAAAACTGCAGGTATGACTAACTATAAACTCAAAAAATTCTTGCACTTTTTAGTCCTACCTATGCAACCCAGAATTTGTTATACTTTTATTATCTGTTAATCGTTTTTGTTATTCTTACACCGTAACATTCATGACAGAAAGTCAATACAACTAAATAAAAAATATAAAAAAGCGACATACAATAAATATATTAGCAGTTCTGTTGGTTTTGTTACTCATAAACCGTTTTTTGTTTATATTATAGTTTCTACAATAAGAATATTTTATTGTTTAAACAGCACTGTTGTAAAAGTCACATTCCTTTGAAGAATTTAATTTGTTTCTGTTTTTTTATTAAAAGAATTGCACTACGTGACACAATAAGACACACTGACTGCCAGAGCGTAAAGTAAAAAATCAGATAGAATTTTTTTTTTTTTTTTGTTAATTATTAAAAGAATTCTGTAAAAAAAAAGTGTTCTTAAATTATTTATTAGTATTTACCTTCTTTCACTTTATCCACATTATATAATTTCTCCTTTAGAACATTCACCGTTTACACTGACTGCACATTGTAAAATAAACTTGCATCGTGCTGTTTGTATTCTGAACATTCAAGGACACATGCAACTTAACGCAAATCGGATAATTTTTTCGATAAACAACAATTAGTAGAACCTGTTAAAACACTACTTCAAGGTGTTTACAGTTACAGAAATAAATGGCGGATTTCTAAGCAATATTTTTAGAACAGAATAAGTGGAATCAAAAGACAAAACGTAACGTTCTTGGACCGGCGTTTTTATTTATAGACCACGCGGCTCTTTCTTTGATATTTATGAAAACAGGAAACAGAAATTTTGAATATTATGCAACATAGTTTAAGAACGTACCCGTAGGTACCTTGATGTAAACATTTTTGTTAATTTTTGTGTATCAAAAGAAGACACAAAAGGACCCTTAAGGTGTAGGCAGGTACTTGGTTCATCATTTTTTTCAGGAAAAGTTTGACGTCATTATGATCTTAGGTTTATTGTTAAAATCATCGAAAAGCTTTTTCCAACGTTTGTAGAGCCAAAGATGTGAACAGAACAAAAATTTTTTCTTTGACATTACCTTAATTACCTACCTTAAGAAACTCTTTTTATTTTTTTATTTGTTATTGGATTTGACGAATGATGAGGATACCGTGGATAGTGAAGATTAGAAATGAAGAGGTATTAGAAAGAATAGGAGAACAGAGGACTCTATGGAAGACAATAAGAAATAAGCGAGATAAGTTTTAGTAGGACACCTTCTCAGGCATGAAGGTCTATGCTCGCGAATAGTTAATTTAAAAATTCGATAAAGATTGTTAAAGGTGTATGTTTGGAGCGCGACGCTGTACTGGTGCGAAACATGGATGGTGGGCGCTGCGGAAAAGAAAAGATTAGAAGCGCTCGAAATGTGGTGTTACAGACGAATGATAAGGATACCGTAGATAGAGAAGGTTAGAAATGAAGCGGTATTAGAAAGAATGGGAGAACAGAGGAATCCAGGGGTCAACAAAAAATTGGCGAGATAGGTTGGTAGGACACCTTGTCAGGAGTGAAAGTCTAGTCAGAGATATATTAGAGGCAGAAACGGGAGCTAGGAGGGGTAGAGGTAGCCCTAGATTAGATTACTGTTCGCAAATAGTTAAAGTTGTGAGATGTTCTAGTTTTGGGGAAATGCAAAGATTAGCTCAGGATAGAAAAGAGTGGAGGTGCGTGTCCAACCAGTCTTAGGACTGACAACCTTATGATAATGATGATGACATTGGATTTATCAACATCACATTTTTGAAACGCAACTGTTTCTCAATATGAATGTGTAAAGTAGAAATATTTCTTTTACCTGCTGGACAACTTGGAAGTTCGTGCTTGGGTAAATTGGTAACCCTTTGGAAGTCATCGTGACATGGATTGCAAAAATGGGTTGTTCCAAAACAAAAGAAGACAGCCACTGAGCAGCAATATCTACATTTGTATTCCAGAAAGTCGGTTCCATGTTTATGACACATTTGTGCTCTTGCCACGTCCGAACAACCTCCACAAACCAACTCGGCTGGATTGTAATTTTCCCCTACTTCCGCATCACAACGAGCTTCGCCACCATAGTACGCCTGTAAAGATTGAGTTTCTTATACCATCATCTGTTTTAATAATTTCGTTAATGCCGACGTACCTTGTTGCATTTAAAACAAACGTAGTACGCGTATCTGTCCATGGCATAAGCAGCCGGATCATCGTAATACCTTGTTCCAGGAGTCGTAATGGCATCCACTGTGTGTAAACCCTCATATTCTAACCTCATAAGGGCCTTCCTTTTAACGTCTTTGTATAATTCCTGAATCGGCCCGAGAAGATCCGCCAACATTGGATGGTTAATGTTTTCCTTAAAATTAGAAGATAAATAATATTAAAAATAAGTAATTTCATATAAGTACGTTCATTGTACATACTTTACAAATAGGACACAGAGAAAAGGAAAATGTTATTCTGGGTCCCGGCCATCTTTTTATCAACGTTTCTCTGCAGCAGTGAAGATGGAATACATGACCACATTTCAGCTGAAATTGAAACAATTGTTTCAAAATTAAAGACGAAGCAGAAATCAGGGATGAGCAAAAGACCAAGACTGTCTATACTAGCATGATCAAGACCAAGACAGAAGGAATAAGATTAAGACACCAAGACTAAAATCAAGACCGAATGAACAAGACCAAGACTAAAGTAAAGACAGAATATGCAAAACCAAGACCAAATACGTAGGACTAAACGAAAAATTATTACCTCCGGTGGATTTATGAGTTAAACTATTTGATGCAACTTTTATATATTCTTTACAGTATATGAAACTTTCACATTGCCTAAATATATAAAAAAAAGAAACTTTACTATTGTTTGAGAAAAGGGATCTACAAGAATATCCTTGGAGTAACCCTAGACAAAAATTTTGAGTCTCTGTCCAGTCTCTCAGAGTCTCTGAGAGCGTCTCTCACAATCTATCACAGAGTCTCAGTTATTTTGCCTAGGTGTTTTCATGGATCTATCACAGTTTCTGTATGAGAAACTCGAACGATAAAATTGTTAATTCAGAGATTCCAGTCTCTCACAGAGAGACTGAATGAATAAAACTGAAAAATTGAGAGACTCGAGTCTCTCATAGAATGACTGGGATCTCTGAAATATGTTGACCTTAGAGAATTTTCACCATATCTATCGAGACACCACTTATTGAGAGATTCGGGTCTCATTCAGAGATTGGATACGAAATGAGAATCTCTCTATGAGCGACTCGAGTCTCTCGTTCAGAGACGCTAAACAGTTTTTTTGACAGTCTCTCGACAGTTTCTCTCAGCGACACCAGAGAGACTCGATGAGAGACGGAGACTCGAGTCTCGCTTTCAGAGACTATGAGGGACTGGACATTTTTATCTCGGGAAGTGTTCTTTGTTCCTATGTCTGGATAACACGATAACACATAGTTGAAATTTAGAAACAAAGAATTATTTGTCGATATTTTTTACTTCTTTCAAGTACCTTGTACTATTTTGTTCACTAAAAGGTTAATTTATGCGTTGAAGGAAATGTATGTTCTTGAGTTTTTATAACTCTCACAACTATCGACACTATTTTCCTTAAAAGTCATGACAAGCTCGCATGCAAGACTTAACACACAAGACCAAGACTACATGTATTTGAGCAACACCAAGACTAAAACCGAATAAGTAAGGCTAAGATCAATACCGAAAAACTAAAACCAAGATCAAGACCGGATAAGTAAAACCGCGACTATATCAGCAAGAACAAGTCTTTGTTAATATATACAAGAAATGTACCTGAATGGCTGGTGCACAAGATAACGCTTCCGTAAAGCAGATCATGCACATGTCATCCGCATCTTGTTTCAACGTAGGATCTGATGAACATCCATGTAAACATGATAAACAACTTGTTTCTCCTAAAACTCCACCGCATAAGTGACCACAACTTAACAGTTTAGCACAAGCAGTCTTGGCATACTCCTAAAAACATTTAAAGATTACCCACATTTGCTGCATTCCTCAGTATGATCGCAGTCAAAATCGAAAAAAATAAGTTTTAACTGAAGGTCCGTTTTAAATTTTACCTGGCATTCATGATCAGCGCAGACATTTCCAATCGCTAAAAGCCCAGAATTTCCGGTAGTTCCACAAAATCGACAAATGCCGCTAGTTGCAGCTCCTTTTGGTCTTGCTCCTCCATCTCGGAATTCAATCAATGCTTTCAAAGTACTTGCATCAGCTACTGCTAACAGCCAATAAAGTTTTGTTCTTCCACATCCTTCATGGAGTTCAACTTTTATAGCTTCTTCCTCTTCCTTGCAAACCTTTGAATACACAAAAGTGAGTAGTATATTTCCAAAAAGAAATTACGATTCATATTTTGTTTTCTGCTTAGAAATTTAGTTAAATACCTGTCTCAAGTGTGATCTGGTTTTTCTGTGTAAGTGCAAAAATCTGTCACAATCGGCACACAAATTTCCACAAATGTTACATTGAACAACAGCATTAGTTTCTCCATCATCATGGTTGGTACATGTAGGACGTGGAGGTGCAGGTTGACCACTAGCATTCCTCCACTGACCTAAAAACAGTAGATATATCAATTAAGACGTAAATTAAGACAAACTATGCAGTGTTCCCTTCTACCTGAAGACAAACGTTCAACATGGTCTTTGTCCAAAACACAAAGAGAAGCAAGGGCAATCCATAAAGTTGGCGTGTGAATACACGTCGTTGGTACCCTCTGTTCTTCACTTAATTGAGTCAAGTTTAAAATATTTTCTGCTATTGCACTTTTAGTAACATTAGCCCAGGTTTCCGAAAGCTTCCCCTGTAAAATACAAAATAGGTGTGTATTTACTAAATGAACATTCAATTTGAGAAGAAATAGATTTTACCAAAGACATTTCTCTTAAAAGTCCCACAATAACTTCAGCATGCTTTCTATTTGCTGTTCCACGCATCCACCATCTGGAGCCAACATGCTCTTTTGATTGCATCGATGTGGCTAATGTGATTGTGCTTATTTCTTTGGCAGGTCCTCCATCACCTGATTTACTTTTCATTTTTACTTGTACCGTTAATGCTTTAGCAATAATGCTCAAAAAGACGTCTAGAATTCCAATTCTAAAACAAAAGGAGCATTTAGCAATCCGTTACAAAAATTTATCAATATTCTTTTTCACCTGTGTACATTAAAGTTGTCACCATTGGATCCTTTGGATGATGTGGTAATAATTCCAAAATCTTTAGCTGGAAGATGATGAACTCCTACAACTTTTGCAAAAAATTCAGGTGTTATATCAGGAAGCATTCTTCTCAGAAGTGCAGTAACCTGTCAGGGAAATTAAAGGTAATTAACAGATGTGCCAAGTATTTGTCAATAATATCTGTCTAAAAATTACTTGTCTTTGGACACGAGCACTTCCTGTATGTAATAAACTCAGTAGATCTCCTAACAGACCTCCTTGATGCGATAGATAAGCCCTTCCAACGGAACTTCCTGATAACGCAAGTACCATTGAAAGCATTTCAAAACAGTAAGTATCCGAATTTTTAGTTGCATCTAAACTTTGACCAGAACTGCAGGATCCAACACCAGAGGAACTTAAAACCGATTCCCATTCTTCTCGAACCCTCACCGTTTCCTTACGAATTGCTTGTACAATATGTACTATTACCTTTTGTGCAAAATCAATTGTTACTACAAATATGCATATTTAGTCTAATAGAAAATAATCAACCTGTTTTTGAAGATGTGTGAGTTTACTCCTGCTAAATAATATTCCCACCATATGTTCCCTCAGTTCATTACTTTCTTCTAAAGGTTCCAACAACTCACTAATGGAAGCAGATCCACTGTCCAAATTGTTTGCATGGCCATCGCCTCTATCACCTGTTATAAGTTTACCAAAAACTTGAGACGTTATTAAGCGGAAAACCCTCAGTGTTTCAGCTTCGCAATTCTTTTGTTGAATGGTTGATGCATTAAGCTGTTTTCCAATTTTAAGAGACTCCCCTGCTATTTCCCCAAGTACCCTAATTTGACGAATTCTCACTGAATTATCAGGTCCTTTTAGCTCTATTCGTATTACAGAATGTCGATTATCTATAAGAATTTTATTGAGTACGTAATTAATAATCTTTCCATAATTTTTACCTAAAATTGGACAATTAACCCAACCACCCAAAAGTCTGTTTTCAACTTCTACAATCCGTAACTTGACCAGTTCATTGGAATTTGTTCCAGAGTAAAATATTATATTTGAAACTTTGTTCTAAAAGTGTGTAATTGTATTAATTGGAACTCGTGGAGTAAAATTTTAAGACTTACTGCAAGATCGCGGCAGTTGTCAATATGAACACAAATAATTTTCGGATGATAATTTTGAGCACAGGAAACAACAAGCCATTTAGTTTTATTTCTGTCTTCATCTCCAGATTCCCAAAAAGTTTCCGTGGATCCATCAGTTAGACTACCAACCATTGCTTGGCGACTTGATGCTTTTATTTCGATAAATGAGGTAATGTCTTTAAGACATTCCACGAAACAAGAGTTCTAGAAATTTATCAGTATAAAGTAGAAAATTGCTTCCTTCGTCAAGATACATATATATATATATATATATAAATGTTTGTAAACTTACTTGGTTGCAAGGATTTTGATGACTGTCTTGCATAGATACCGTGCAGTCTTCCAATTCTTCACTTCTGGACAAAATTTTACTAATATTACTGAAAACTTGTGACCGATGAAGAAAGCTATGATCGTTTTGCGAGAATCTGATGCCCCAACATTTCACAGCCATTTGCTGTAGTGCAGAACCCATTGGTAAGAGTACCATCAAGTCTGCAATAGTCTGTAGTAAAGCATGAAACGTAGAAGGCAAAGGGTGAACAGCTTCTCCAGCTATTGAAATATCGGAAAGTGGATGTTCGCATACATTAGTCTCCTGAAAAAAAATACTTGTAGTGAGGGTACATTTTCAAAAACATGAAATACAAATGCTCATACTTGTTCTTCAGATTTCTTTTGGGGCTTGTTATCATCATCTGCATCCATATCCGTTTCCAACGGAGTCAAAGAGGTGACAAACCACCACAATAAATCATGAAGACAGACCGGTTGAGTAACGGATCTTAATAACCAATTTAAAGCTTGCATTGCATGTACCCGACACATTGCTTTCCTGAAAATTAAAAAGAAAGCATATCACAACTTCCTTTCAACCGAATATTCTTGATTCAACCTTAAAGCTTGTTTCATAGCAAGTTGCAAAGAATCAAGATCGTGCTGTTCAAGAATGAAAACCATTACAGGCCTATCCATTAATTGCTTTCCATACTGGTCTTGTGAGTTCAATGAATCACTAGGTTGGCATTTAGTAATGATCGACGAGCCGTCCATTTTTGGAACCAGTTTTTGTAATGCAGGAGAAGGATTACACAGAAGAGAAGTACCACCCTCTACAAACATTTTTACTTGAATAAATTTCAGTTCAATTAGGATTTGTCTCCAAAATAATTACCGTTTAATGACTCAATATTACTACTGTTACGTTTCCTCATCATGATAATCCTACCGTCTAAACCAGTTTTTGACCATGGTGCCCCATTCGTCCCCATGGAAACTGATCTGTGAAACCTCTGACCTCTTATACCATCACTCTCGTTGTCTGGTAACGAGACTTCTGATAACGGCTAAAAATTGGTATGTTATTTTAATGTTTTTTGGTAAAAAAGTAGGCACATTTACTCTCTTTCCATTTGGGCTCAATTGAAACCCTTCCTGGATGTTTCTTCTTTGTATTTCTTCATCATAAATTATCGGCTCTTCACGAGGCTCATTTGCTCCTAAAGTTTGCAAACATTGAAATGGAGGAACAGGACCAAAGGGCCCACTGAGATCAGGTGGAGAGCTATTTTCTGATAAGGATGGCATTGCACTCGTTGAAGGACGTCGCTGATGTGACATAGCTGATGAAGATGAACAGAATTTATTGTTTGTATTCACACAGATAAAACAATTTTATCCACCTGTGTTGGCTGAACATGCTAAATCTAGCAAGAACATGGCGTTATTTTTCATCACAATATGAGGTTCCATGTGGCCACCAACTGGAGAAAGAAGAGTTTTGGTAAATGTATTTTTCCGCCTTAAAGGTGTTTTACTACTAAAAGATATTAATTTTGCATTCCTGCAGGTTTTCATATATCTTTCGCGACAATTGTCACACACCAAATACCAAGAGCTCCCAGCTAAAATAACACGCTGATTATGCTAAGAAGAGTTAGGAAAAGTTCCAATTATCTAAGTAAACTATATAAGCAAACACAAAATAAGAGAAGAAACAGACAAGAAAAGTTCCATGACAACAACCATTATGAGAAAGACGATAATGTGGAATGACACACATCTAGCACAGTGTTGGAGTAATAGAAGAGGAAGAACACTTACGAATGCCACCTTCACCACAATTTCCAGCCCAACCCAAACAAAAATTTCCACTAGAATTATAACCTTTACCACCTGCAGACTGTCCACATCCAGGATGACTTTGCTTCATGTGGAACGTAACTGGATGAACAAAAGACTCTCCGCAAAGTTCACAGTATGCATCCCTCTCGTTGGCTCCATTTCCAATAGAACCCTGTCCAGCATCATCTGAACCTAAACAATCAAAACGTCTCCTGAAAATTTTCAATCATTAATTTAATATTTGCGTACCAAGGAAATTTCTTTGAACAATTTTCTTTTTTCTCATTTTCTTATTATCCTTTTCCATCAATATGTTCTTTTCCTTTGAATCCCTTTCCTTTTGTTCCGGTTTAACTAGAATCATCTTTTCCGATTTTTTAATTCTAGATTTAGTAGGGCTCATTGCTGCCATTTGCTGAGTCATTGTGGTTAAGCAGTTTGTAGTTAATTCGTCCCATAAATAAACAAGAGATTTCAAAGCAGGAGGTAAAACAGAAACAGTTTGATATCCATAAGTTCCTTCCGCCCCTGTTTCCTCTTTTATAATTCCTTCTGGATGTTTTCTATTTCTACTCCTGTTTGCATTTGCATTGGCCGCAGATCTTGTAAGGGTTTCTAAAGTAGATGGTTGGATATGTAGATAAGTTCCAGCGCTTACTTCTACTGAATGTCTTTGGCGAGCTCTTTCTTCTTTGGACAATTCTTGCCGACGCTTGTCTACCGCTTGCTCTGGTTGTCCATGTCTTGTTACCACTAAAGCTCCTTGTTTAGGTAATCCTGGATGAAACTTCAGGAAAGATGCACAAGCCATAGCGTCATGGACAATACCTTCAAAAAAATAGTGGGCGATAAGGAGACATTAAAACAGTTCGATTTGATTTTTAATACCTTCATGCCATAAAAATGCGGCGAAAACTGCTCTTAATGATTCAGCAACTGAAGGACTAATTGCTTGCTTAACCGTTTCATTTTTTGGGTATGTGATGTTCGGTGAGACATAGGATTGTACAGTTGCTGGCGAAATTGCTCTTTTAGGTCTTGTTTTGTTGCTAATTCGATCTTTACGCATCATTTTTGGAGATATTCGTTCATCTTTTGGGGCAGTGCCAATTGAAAAATGACCCTTCAGTTGCGTGCCAGAGGCATTCTCAGGAGATGTTTGAGTTCCAGTTTGAGTCAGCTTTCTTGGACTCTGTTCGGAATCCTAAATAAATTATTTAAGAAAATAAGCTCTTTGAAAATAAAATTTTGATATTTGTTATGTATTAGGTATTTGAATTTTATAAAGAACGAAAAGACTTACAGTTGTGTTTTTTGGGGGTGTTTGAGGTGGACTAGTTTCAGATCGCGTTTGAATTGAACTTCCGCTTGGACTTGGTGTAAAGTCATTCATATGTGTTACTTGATTGGGGGACTGTGATATGTCTCTGGTAAGACTGCTTACCAAAGCGCTTGTATCAGATTGGTTGGAGCCTCTTCTTACAAACGTCGCTCCTCCTACACTCGACACTGTAAATTCTTCTTTTAAAAAAATTAAAATATGCTTGTATAATTTACACAAACCTATAGGGGATATTCCCACACTTTTCGGAGAACCTGCTTGAGGACTATTGCTAGCTTCAGCAACATGACGACCGCCTACAAAATGTAATATAGTTTACGATAATGAAATAAAATTTAAAGAAAGACAAAGAAAACTACCTGGGACTGCTATAGGACTAGAGCTTCTACTCAATTGTTTCGAAGGCTGCGGTATTGGAGTTGGACTGCTTCTTTTTGGGGTTTCTGGTGGTGTAGCACCATTTCCATTAGTTTTATATTCATATAGCGATTTTGGGTCACTTTAAAACAAAAGGCAAAATTATTGGCTTTATTAAGACGTACTATTTGGAGAGTTAGTAATGACAAATATTAGGGTAAAGTAAATACCTTTTCAAATTTTCATCTTTAATCCATTTGGGAACTCCACTTAGTTTAGCATCTTTTGATTTATCACGTCTCTGCACTTTTGGAGAATGTGACAGAGTCGGATCACCAAAAACGAAAGGGTTGAAACCTTCTGTACTTCCACTAGAAGATGGCTGAAATTGCATCTTTGCACCGAAAGCAAAATGAGGATCAGGAGGATTTGGCGAAGAACTGTGCGAAAAGTCAAAACCTTTTTTAACTGTTTTAGTTTGTTCGCTTTCTATATTGATCGATATTTGAGGGTTGAGGTCTAAAAACATTACATTTTGATAAAAACAATGTTTAAAAGTTTCCAAAGTGTAGTGATAACTACCTTTGTCGCTTTCATTTAACAGACCGATATATACGGAATTATTATGACCCATTGCAAGAGACCAGGCTTCGCTATCAGTGTTAAAGCAGTATTTTTCTTTGGTTGCTAGATCAAGTTGAATCCAACATCCATCTGAGTTTACAATACACTGAGTTATGCCCACCCTGTTTCCTAGAACTAACATTCCGACAGGAGGTGCTTTTAGACTAGGTCGGGAGCGAACGTTGTGACCTGATGCGCCACATTTAATGACCTGATAGGCGCCACCAAACGTAGAAGTTGTTTTTCGTCTATAATATTTCAATTTGAATACCCAATCGATATTGCAAAAGTGTTTCACATATATACCTGTCATGAATTTCAGGCAGTTTTCTCATAATCGTTTCGGTAATCACTTGATCTAAGATCGTTTTAGGTTCTTCGACTGGTAAAAGAAGAGTTTTACCTAAATGCTGATTGTATTGGAGACACCATGCTTCAATAGCGGTTGTGTTGCAGTATTGTTTGATCGTTTCTGGAGATAATCGGAGCCACACTCCGTCATCGTTGTGAATCTAATGATGGCGTTAAGAAGAAACGTTGATAATAATGACAATAAAAAGGAAACTAATAGAAATACCTCTTCTACAAACGCAATGGTACCGTTGACATGTACAATTCCAATTTGTTCACTCTGTAGGGACGGATGAGCTCTAATTCGAAGCCCTGCGGAATTCTTGGCTACAAATTTTCGAAGTCTGCTAGGTTGATGTATGGGTTTCTTGGATAGATTTTGACTGGGAGGTGTCATTCCTTGTGGAGGTTCCTTAACTTCTACTTTAAATGACTACCAATAAAAATATTAATTAGACATTTGTTCACGAACCGAAACAGGGAAGAGGAAAGAAAGAAAGGAAGAAAGATACCTCTTCCATTTCATATCCATCAATAGTGACCACTATGGAATAACAACCTACAGACGATGGAGTCCACGTTGCACTGTAGGTTCCATCACCGTTTGGTCTGACCAACATGTTCTCGCTCGATCTTTTCACTGGCGGAGAAGTGAATCTCAGCTCTTCAAACGAGTAGTTCTGGTACGGCTGGATGGTAATTAATTCAATGTGATGAACGATTAACATCTTTTTTTACAAAAATTAAATATGTACTACCTTCATGACCGTTATGGAGTGGAAGCACATCTTGTCTCGAATTGTAGGTTCGTAAGAATGATGGAGCGGAGGTGGCGGATAACCGCCAAACGTCATAGGATCCGGTTGACTTATTCTTCTTATTTTACGACCCGAATCGCACTCACCAAATTCCTTTTTATCAATTGGAATAGCTTTTATTTCGACCTACAAGTAATTACGGTAAGAAATTTGGTAACCGCTGTTTCCGCCGTCCTTCTTATCTCGTACCTTCATGTTAGGTACATGAACAAGATCAGAATATTGATCTCTTGTAAGAACGGTAACGATTGCAGGCCAACCATACCTAAAATCGTCTTTAGAGTACAGTACTTGGCATTTGACCGGATCAATTCTACTTCCAGGTTGAAGCCATTGTGCTAGACGACCTCCGCTAGTTCCAGCTGTGCAGTTGACGAAATCGCGTAAAAAGAGACGTTCGTTTGAATGAAAACTGCAACAAAATATGTCGCGCTAATGAAATTGTTCCAGCTGTGCAGTTGACGAAATAGCGTAAAAGAAAACGTCCATTTTAATGAAAACTGCAGCAAGATACATTATGCTGATAAAATACTGCGTAAAAGGATAATAACCCATAACTAAATGCCAGTTCAATACTAAAATAGTTTTATAGTATAGAAACAGACGAAATTTAATATATTTGCATAGTTTTGCACAGCTAAAAAGTTTTAGATATTAACCCTTGTGATTTGGTTTCACTTTAAGATAATCATCACGCTCTTGGTCAGATCTGGATGGCGATTCCGAACGTACTAATCTACATCAATAGTTCCTACGACCTATATAGTTGTGTATATCCGGAGGATAGGGTGGAAGATCTTCGTTAGCCTCCTTTAAGAAATCGTGGAATCGGCTGGGTGGTTGTTGAGAAGAGAAAGATGTGATGGACGAAATGAAGGCAGAAAAGAAGTGAAATAGTGAAGGATTATCTGTAGAATGTTACTACCCAACAGTTGCTTAAATGATCCAGGGAAACCACAGAAAAACTTGGACGGTTTAGAGCATGGGGTTAGGCGGATTGTACATAAGAAATCTCGTCAGGCCTGACTTTTTCTTTTGAAAGAAAGTGAATATTTGGAACTTACTTTTTTTTCTAATTTTGAGTGTTCAAAGTTTATGAATAATGTGCCAGCGTTACTTTGCAATCCCGGACCCGAATTTTCTCTCGACGGTCACAACCACGCTCTAAATAAAAACTACTTTAAAAAAATTACAATATTTAACTAATCATTGTCCTTCTTGAAACAATGGTATGATCTAATCCAATATTTCTCAAAATTTATTGTCTGCGTCCCTTTTTGCATTTAATAACTTCAAAGGATATCCCACCCCGAAGGACGAGTATCAAGGGCGTAGCCAGCCAGTGTACGGAGAAAACTAAATTTTTATAACAACGCAAAAATTATAATTTTTAATTGTAAATGACTGAAATTTTTGCGGTAGAAATAGTAGAATTTATAAGGTAACTTGTAATAATCTCAATTTTGACAT